TGGCCTCGGCCATAGCATATATATATGTAACTATTTTAAATTACTAATAAAGATATAAGCAAGGCCTCACCTTAATATCAAAAAAAATAAAATAAATAATTCAATCAACTACAAATATTAATTATTATAGCTGAGGCTAGAAACAACTAAAACTAAAAACTTTAAATATTTTTTAATTATATATATTTTAATTTAGTTAGGATTTAAAATATAAAAGAATAAAGATGGATTTTAGTAGATTTATATTTTTGAGTTAAATTTTTATTTCAGCTTCAGTTATTTTCAGTTTTAGCTATAGGGTGTAGTGACTTAATAAAGTGGATAAGTTGTCAACCTTCCAAGTGGTAGGTTGTAAGTTCAAAACCCATCAATGGTAAAAATTTGGATAATCATCTATGTAATATATAAACAATATTATGGTGATGGTATTCTGTCGATCAGTTAGAATAAGATACCTGTAACTATGGTTATACCAGCATGACTGGCAGGCAAGGTTGGCACATTTATTCATTAGGTTCAATAGAGTAGACCTCTATTAACATTGGTCCATTGCTCCATTGAGAATATTTTGTCAATAAAGCCAATAAAGTCCAACAAGATACTATAAGTACTATGTATAAATTATTATTATTTTTTTTTCAGTGTTAAGGTGACCTCTTTGGTCTTTCAACTTTATTAACATATTTTTAGGAATGTAGTTTCATAAGGAGCTACTACAGGAAGAGCATACAATTGGCCACTCATGTAACTTTCTATATTACCTATTTAAGGAGTCCGCCTAATGTTTCCCACCAATTGCCATACCTAACACCCCTGCTTGAATGTTCCATTTAAACTCTCTGAACCTGTCTCATATTACTTTACCAAGTCAAGCCTGAATTCTTCGTCTCAACCTTAGGACAGTTATCCTCAAGGTAAACCTTCTAGAGTCTGCTGTTTACCCATTTTTGCAGCTGACCCAGATATCACTATGGCAGAACCAACACTTGCAGTTAGAGCTAACTGTTAAACTGCTATGCCCTTGTAGAGTTCACACAGACCCTAGTACCTACTTCACAGCATATTCCTAGTACTTTAGTATATCCTTGCTTCTTTTATCAAACTCTCAATCCAGATAGCCCATATAGGACTACGATCAATCCATTAATATATCAGGTCAGCCCGATATCCTTTTCCTCTGGTCCAATCTAGTGGCCTGGTTGGTGGTACCTCCGAGACTCCCAACCCAGAGGTTCTTGTCTGTCCAGCTACTTCGGCATTGGTATCCATTTCTTAGATCTAGCATATATAAATTATATAATATATATATTATATGTTATATATTTTAATTTATAAAAACATTAATAACTTTTGATCCACTAATCCATTTTGGATGCTTTAACCATCAAAATGTTCATCTTGATGAGTCGAACATTTTGATAGTCAAACCATTCAAAATGGATTAGTGGATCAAAAGTTATTAGTTATTATAAAAATTAGAATATATTAATATTATATAAGTATGATTGGTTGGTTCAATAGAGTCAATAGAGCCAATGGATACCATTCTATTTACTTTATTAGGTCTATTGATAATTTTCTCAATGGACCTTATTCATTGCCAACTCTGCTGTCAGGTCATAGGGCATCTGTGTAACCTTGGTTACACAGAAAAATGCTATCTGGTACCAGACAGTGCAAATCTAAAATAAGTTTTTATGACTGTATAAATCTGTAGAACTGGAAAATTAAAGCCTATTTAGGAAGACCCAAGTAGAGAGATAATACAGATCTTTAACAGTACTACTGTAAAGGCTAGACCTAGGAAATGGATACTAATATAGAGAAGCCAGACAGGTAAGAATCTCAGATGAGAGGTATTACCAATCAGACTGCTAGAATCGAACTAAAAGAAAAGAATATCAGACTAGCTCAATATAATAAGGACAGGTTACAGTCCTTCTGGACTATTTGAATTAGGAGTTTGGGGACAAAGCAAAGGTATACTATAAGTACTAAAGATATGCTATAAAGTAGGTGCTAGAATTTGGATGAACTCTACAAGGGCTAGTCTTGTTAATGTTCTGTAGAATGAGTAGGTAGTTAACAAGAAGATACTCCAAAACCTTATAGTCAGATAACATGCTCTGGAATGTATAATGGCTTGACAAACATATAAAAGGAGAAGACTAAATGTTGGGTTAAACAGCATTTAGATATACAGGAACTAGGTATTACTCATCTGGATGCAGTATAAGGATCAGAGTATTTAAATAAGTACCCTCCTAGTAGGTTACAGGCATGATAGCTAGTGTAGAACCCTTAGGCAGACTACTTAAATAGGTAACCAAAAGTTATATGTGTGACTAGTTGCATACTTATCTTGTACAAGTTCAATGTAATACATTAACTAAAACACAATAAAGGCAATAGCTATCGATAACATCAGCCTTGAACAAAAAAAAAAAAGTTTTAGTTGCTATATTAATTAACATTAGTTTACTCTATTATTTGCTTTACTCTCATCAATAACAATATAGCATATATATTATAAGTAATTTGATCTAAGAATGTGGTCAAAACATGGCTTCAGTAAGTAAATAAACATACTATTAAGTAACATATTAACATATATTAAAATAAATAAATTAAAGAAACTATAATAAAGGCAAAATAAAAAAAACTTATTGTTATCTTCTTTATATTTTCTGAGAAGCATTTGTTTCAGTTAGTTAATTATTGTCATCATATAATCATATTCCTAAAAAGTACATCATGTTTTAGTTAATTTTGGATAATCTGCAAATTTACTAATTCTGCTTTTAAGTTTATTTATTGAAATATCAACAAGCCAATTAATATATTATGTATTATTAACAACTATATTGATATTCTGATTAATAAATTTAAAAGTTAAAATAGTAAACACAAAATTAAGTTTTATTGTTTAATTTTAATGACATCAAAATAATCTAATAATGCTGTAAAAAAATAAATAAATAAATATAAATGAATAATGGTATAGATAATAAATAGATTATAGTAATTTTATATTTTTTTAACTCTTTTTTGATTTTATATTTGTCTTCAATACATATTATGGAACCTAGTTCAAATAATAACACAGATGCAATAAATGTTTTACAATGTGTCTTGCTTCCAAATTACAAATATATAATAAGTTCTTTCAAGCAAGATTTACATAATAAAGATCTTGTTAATAATAATGTTAAAGCTGAAACTTGTATGAAAAGTACATAACAATAAACACTAATTGTCTTGCAGTGCTTCATATATAGTTAAAAAATAAATCCAAACCTTATCCATATATAGTTTTTATCTTTTTTAATCATAATCACTTTTTCAAGTCAAATCACATTATAAGCTTTCATTCAGTATCTGATTTAACAAAAAATTGGCTTTTTGAGCTTTTCAAAACTAGACACAGTCCTAGTAGTGCATATTACACATACACAAAGTAACTACAATTGAAGTTTGAAAATGATGAAAAAGTATTAGTAGACAGAGCAATTTGTTCACATAAAAACAATTATTATTATCTTTACCAAAAGTATCACATCAAATCTGTAGGCTCTCAAAATGAAAAAGATATGTTTGATAAATTGGCAAAGAAAATAACTGAGTTTAATAACAATAAGAAAGGAAACATTTGAATGCAACCATATATTGCACTAACAAAAAAAGACCTAGGACAATCTTTTATTCTTATTATTATAACAAATCTTATAAAATGTTGTTATACCTTATCTCATGTTGGTGAATTGGTTTATATAGACACAACAGCTGAACTTGACATGCTTAATACTCCTTTAATACTTCTTTCCACAAGCACTTCTATTGGAGGTTTATCTCTTGCTGTAATTCTTACTTTAGATGAAAAAATAGATACTTTAAAAAAAGCATTAGATATAATAAAAAATAAGATGTCATCAGCAACATTTGGTGAACATGGATCTAGACTTAAACTACAAATAATTATGACTAATAATTGTAAGACTGGAAGAATGGCATTAAGCCATATCTAGGAAAAGACTATCTTACTTTTGTGTCTTTCATTTTTTATAGGTGATGTGGCAATGGCTCTAAAATGGCAAGCATAATATTTATAAAGATGATTATATAACTTTAATTAACTATATAAAAAAAATAGTTTTTGTGAAAACAGAAATAATCCTTAATGCAGAATATATAAATTTAACTATAAGTCAAATTTATTTAAAATATTCAAATTTTCAATCTCATTTTAAAACATGTTAAAGCCATTGTCAAGAATGGTTCATTGCATTTTACCAAGCTTTACCAATTCACAATAATAATACAAACAATATTGTAGAAGCTAGAATTAGAATTATAAAAGAAATTATTTTTTACTAAGTTCAAACCTATAATATTGTACAAATATATCAATTTATTGTAAATATCATAGATCTTTACTATGTTTGCGAGTTACTAGCTGTTGCTCACAATAAATTAGATAACTTTATTGCACTTCATTTTAGATTATCAGGTTGGCAAATTGGAATTAAAGAAGATATAGAAGTTATTAGTTTTGATTCAATGATTTTTAAGCATAAAAGTAGCAAAGATCAAAATATACAATACTTTGTAGACATGCAACTTGAAATATGTGAATGCAGTCCAATAGGTACACCATGTAAGCATCAAGTGTTTATATTAAAGCATTATCAAATTTGTGGTTTAAATTAAGTTTCTACAATGTCAGCAAATAAGTAACATTATTATGCATTTCTTATATCAAATAAAAAATACAAGTCTCTTAGCTTTTATGCAGATCTTCATCAAGCACAGCTAGAAAAGGAGAATTATACAAATTTAATACAGAATAATGGACTAGTTCATTTAAATAACAATTATAATAACCAAAATAAAGAAAACTTACTATTAGTTAAATTTTTATATGTTTATAATAATAGGCATAATGATAATAATGATATTGTTAACAGTAATAACATTAATAGTAATGATATTAATGGTATTAATGATAATAAAGACACAGATAATAGTGAAGATATGGATGATAAAGATATTGAAAATGCATAAGAATAAAAACCTAAAAACTAATTATAGTAAAAATTATTAAATCAGTTTTTAGGTTTTTGCTTTTACACATTCAAATAATGTTAATTAATATATAGTAACATTGTTATAAGTTAATAAACAAATAAATAACTAATATCATTTAATTAATTGTAGGTTTAGTAGTTGAAAATTATAATAATGATAGCAATAGTGCTATAAATAAATTATGATAGTTTTGTAATAACATAGAGAGTCTTATAAAAGAAAATGACCCTGTATTAAATAAGAGTGTATACAAATTTGTTGAAATTTACAAAAAACATCAGTATAGAAAAGACACTTATATTTGTCCAACTGTGGCATTCTTCCTTCAGACTTGCAATTAGAATACAGATTGAGTTTATAGTAAAAGAAATTAGTCTAGAAAAAAAAGAATATGTGTTCAAGTTACTGCATCTTTATAATGCAAAGAAGGTTCAAAACATGAAATTAGGAAAATATCTCAAGAAAGAAGGCCACAAAAGAACTTTTGTGCTAAAGATACTGAGATACAAGCATTGAATTACTATGTTATACTGGCATGATTAAAGAGACAACAAAAAAAACACTCACATAATTTGAATTAAGCTTTATTAGAAAATCAGCCAAATAGAATAGCATAATTAACAGGTTTTCTAAGAAATATAGTATTTATATTAAATTGTCTGTATATATTCTTATCAGACAAATATTTAGCATTGTAGTTTCTATAAAATAATTTTATTTTTTTTCATGTTTGCATTATTTATTTATTCAATTCACTAATCATAGAATGCTGATTTATTTCTTTGTTTCTATTATTCATAAAATAAAAATAAAATAAATAGATAAAATCTTATAGTTGCTATATAAATTTTTTTTCTTATCAATAACAAAAATTTTAAAATTCAAAGCTACTTTGCATTTAAATGTGACTGGTATTAAACATTTTTATTTAACATGTTCATGTTAGATTATCATTAACTTATAATGCAATAGATGTTACATGAACATTGATCACATGATTAAACTGAACACAAATTCAAAAATTGCAAACTAATAAAAAAAATAAATAGTTAAAAAAGGTTGTATACAGAACTATTAGAAATTTTGGCAAACCAAAAAACCATTCTCAGAATCAATTAAAAGTAAGACAATTTAACTAAAAAATGCTTAAAAAGAGTTAAAAAAATTTTATAAATCTAAGAATATAATAAATACAAATTGATATAAAAAATTAAACCAGATAATAAATAGACAGAAATGCTAACAGGCCTTAAAAAAAAACATAGCATTAGAAATAACAAAAATTATTTATAGTTTAATCTAAACAACAAGCAAGCAAACATAAAAGATTTCTAAAAGTTTGCAAAAATATGCATTAATGCAATCATTGTATCAAAAAAGTATAAGATTTCACAAATATATCTAATATTAAAAAGTAAAAAATGAATATGAGTCTCATAACTTAATATTAAGCTCTTATACTCTTACAGTCAAGATCAATAGTTTAAGTTTAGCTAAAAGCCTCTGTAATTTTAAGAAGCCTATAATTAAACATAAAGCTCTATAATCAAATCCAAGTGCAGTACATAATAGAAAAATAAATTCCTGAAAGAAAACTAATTTTGCAGAATATAAACACTATGTGTAATAGCAGTATTACAAAAAGTTCTGTTATACAAAAGGTTGTGTATATAAATTCTTTAAAGATAAGACAGTACTAACATCTTTACATCCAACTTGTAGAATATTTAATTGGGAAAGTGATATCAAGGTAATATGAACTGAAGTAATAAGAGAAGCAGAATATGCATAGAAGGTTTGTGATAAAGAATTAGCCTTATTAAGATTAGAAGCATCTTTGGTGCTATAGAATAACTATAAATAGAAGATAGCCATTTATATAGAGAAGTTGTAGACTGTTTTGCATATCTAAAGGTTTTAAACTAAAGCTTTAGTCATACTTATATGAAAGCTTATAGTGAAACAAATAAAACATATCAACATAAATGCTGTACTAATCATGGTTAAAATATCTAAATTGAAAGTAAAAACCTATTTGAATATAATGTAAACACCTTAGTTTAAATATAAATTCAGGCTAGATGTTCTTAAAAAGACAGAAGAATTGTCTGCAATTAGAAATAGAATAAAGAAAAACCTGCAGCACTGTATAATAGTAGTAAAAATATCAGTTAATAACTAGAAGAAAATGTATACTTATTTCTGAAATAGAGTTTCATTTATACTATAAAAATAAGTACTTAAGAGGCATATTAAATACACAATCTGTTAAAAATAATGCTAAGACCAAGAAGGATTATAAATTAACAGCAGTAGCAAGAATCTGGCTTGAAAACATGCTACCAGTATCTGAATTAAGAAGTTAGCAGCAGTAGCAGGAACCTAGCTTAAGATATATATTAAAGAGGCACCTTTTAGGCAAACCAAAGATAGTTGCTCAAAAGAAGTAAATGATCTAATGGACCAATTTGGAAGTTGCTAAAAATAGATTATAAAACATAGAATAAATATATAGATTACTTAATATAATTAGTAATAAATCAAAAATTCAGATTAGATGTGAATAGGACACAATACAAAACTCTAATAAATTTAGGTTACAAATAAATATGTCTGAGTCTTATATCTAAATAGATATATAGTGATAAATAATATATAAATAGATTTGTACTAGCTATAACAAATATACTAATAAAGACTAAAGGCCATAATTTCATCTTAATATCAAAAAAAAAAAAAAAAAAAAGCAATATAATTTAAGCAATATAAAACCTATTATGCTACTAGAATATTTAAAAAATGCATAACCAAGATTTTTACTAAAAGGTTGACATAGATTCTTTATAAAAAAGATATATTAAAAGAATCTAACTTTGTAGACCTTTTAGAAAATTTAGCAAAAGAGTCAGTTTATATTATTAATGTTATAATAAAAGATGCAAAAAACAATAACAAAGAATTATAGCTGATATTACAAAATATAAAAAAAGCTTTTGACTTAGTATTATTAGATGCACTAGAATAGCAATAAGAAGAATTAAAATCTATTACATTTATACTAAATCTGTTTTATAATAGACAAACTAAAATTATTATATATTAGAGTATAATAAATATAATTGAATTAATGATAAAATTAAATAAGATAAAGATTATCTTCTTTAGTATAAAAACTATTCTATAATTTACTACTAGAAAGAATTTAAAATAACTACAATTTAGAATATATACTATTAGTATCAATACTATATAACTATAATTGAGATGATTTTAAGAAAACAGAATAAAAATAAGCAAAAATAGCATTTGCAGATAATACAATATAGATTATAAATAGCAAAATACAAATATAGCAAATAATCAAAATTGCAAAAAATTTCTTTAATAAAAAAAAGTTAAAATTAATTATAAATTTAGAAAAAAAAAGAAAATAAAAAAATAAATATTAAAAATAAACAAATACAAGCAAAGAATACTAACAAAATAATAAAATTTCCGAGTTTTTTGTTAAATTGCAAGTTAAAAAAATTTACTAATTAGGTCAAAAGCTCAAAAAACAATATAAGCAATAATAAGAAATTTAGATATTAAGAAAATAACAATAGCTCAAGCATCATATATAAGCAATATATATATTATACTAAAACTACTATAAATATTGCAAACAACAAAGTTAACAAAAGCAGTTAATAAAATATAAAGTTCTTATTAAGAATAGCAAAAAATAAACTAAAAATAGTAAAAATAACAAAAAATAATATAATATTATACAAAAATCTAAAAAACTGCAATTTATTATAAAATTAACTTTTTATTAAGCAAATTACAAGTTTTTATATATAACTCAATACAAGTAATATAAAAGAATTAATTACAAGAATATGTATTAACCAAGAACTATTATTAGTTAGTATAATAAAAAACAATTGATATAACAACT